TTTTATTTTTTAGTACCTCAAATATATATAATATTAATTAAAATTAGTAAAAATATATAAAAAATTAATTAAAAGTAATAAATTTATATTTTTAACTAAAGTGTTATATAAAGTATTGTCAAATAAAACCTTAGTGGATCATCTTGATTGCTTATACATATCTTTTCACATAGTAATTTACTGAAAAATATAAATATATTATTCTTAATAAATATTTTTAGTTAATATTTTATATATTTTTAAATAATAAAACATAAAAAAAAAAAAAAACTTACAACAAAAGCATAGCACACCCATCTTATAATTATATAATAGTGATAATATTATAATTATAATATCACATAATAACTTTTTTTGATAAAATCACTACAACAGCCTATATAATTGATTGGTCAAATATTTTTTTTATAGGAATTAGGCAAATATTTTTTAAGATTTCATAATTCAATTAAAATGAAGTTCAGATTGATTCGGTTGCTACTACAAAAAAAATGATGGGTTGAATGAGATTTTCTCTCAACCGATTATGTCGGTTCACATAACCAAATGGTTAAACTGAACCAACCGATTGAAACTCCGGCCCGCGAGAATTCACTGCATTCATGAAACCTTTTCCAATTGAGATTCCATCGCCATTAGGGTTTATGAACGATATAAAAGCCAAAAAAGCAACTAAGTTTTTGCTTGAATTGTTTGATTTAATTCAGGTAACTTACTCGATCCCAAAATTTAAGCCATTCTTTTTTGTTTATTTTCTGCATGGTTCAATGGATGTTTAATGCATGGTACGTACTGATATGATTTTTTCATGAATTAGCAGAATCCATGGCAAAGAAACAATGGGGTTGGATTCAGGCTACTTCTGTTGATCGGATTTCATACCTGCCCGACGGGATCCTTCATCAGATATTGTCTTACCTTCACATAAAGGTTGTTGCTCGAACCAGTGTGTTGTCCAAGAGATGGCAGCATCTATGGTACTCTTTTCCCGTTTTTGATTTCGCTCAGTATGAGTTCTATGATCCTCGAAAACGCATGGATGATTTAGAGACGTTCACTGATATTGTGGATGGCAAACTAAAATCGTTTTGCAAATACGAGCATGCGATTCAGAGATTCAATTTGCAATTCAGCTGTATTGAGCCAGAGTACTATTGCCTTGTTGACAAATAGATGAGACTGGTCATAAAAAGACATGTTAGGGAGCTAACCTTCTACGCAAACTTACCATACACAATAAATACCTACAGTTTACCGTCACAAGTCTTTGTTTCTAATTCATTGACGGTTTTAGAGATCTTTTGTAAGAACACCCTTTCTCCGAGATATGCTAAGTTGCCTCGTCTGGTAAGCTTGCGTTTGACAGATGTGAAAATTGATGTGATGCTGGTATTTGATGATGATAAGTTCCCCTGCATTGAGGTTATGCAGTTACGGAATTGCATTATTCCAATAGGGTTTAAGATATGCTCCCACCGGCTCAAGGAACTGGAGATAAACGACCGTAAGCAGGGTGAGATAGAGATTTTTGCACCAAATCTAAGTTCAATGCTGCAAATAAGCTAGGTAATGGACTACCATTAGAAGAGTCCTTAGTTTGAGAGACCTCTTGTTATACAACTCAAATAAAAAATATCAATATCTTTTAATAGGTGATTTATATTGGCATTCATTTAAATTCAAATTCATTCTTAGTTACGGTTTTATTTTTAGATATGATCCTAATTTTATGGTACAATAAATTGAGAGAGACTCTTCTTCAAAGGCAACATCAAATTGGAACTCTTGCTTTAGTAATCGATTTCCCAGCAAAGGTACCTTTGCTAATGTTTATATATTCTATGGTTATGAATCCATTAATTTATTATTATTATTTAAAAAAAAATTCCTTTCGGGTTCGTTTAGTTGGAGGGGTAACTATTCCTTTGCCAATCTGTATAAAGAAGGCAAAATTGAGAATAACCAAGAAAATAGACGGAGGTGATAGTGGCAATTTCTTATTAATCCCTCAAAAGAAATATGTAACAGATTAAGGATGATTAACACTTGCTTACTTCAGCCCCAAGCGCTGGAACTGACCAAAACCAAAGCATTGACCATCAGTAGTAGTCTTGCCTCGCAGAATAATGGTTTTTTTTTTTTTTTGGTTATAATTTACGATTAAGTTGTTTTTAGATTAATTTTTACATATGTAGTTTGAAATTAATTTCTTTCCAATCAATTCTAAAGACATAACTATCGTATCAATTTAGTATATTTAAAAAAATTAATTTTTTTAGATATTAATCTTAAAACTTGAGTAGCAAACTTAACTTATAAAATAACACTTAGTTAATAATACATTTAACTATTAGAGTTATAATGTTTTTTTATTTTTGTGGAATACATTTGAGCTTAAGTTTGGATTCTTGATTTGAGTAGAGTATCTGGATACTCTTACTCGATTTGTTAATAGTCGTATTCCCAAGTCCACAATTACCCACATATTCAAAAAAAAAAAAAAAGAAATTAAAAAAGTTTAATAAGTTAAAAAAAAAATTGTTCTTGGTTATCATTTTTAAAATGTGTACCTTAGCAAGATGTTGATTTTATTTGATTTTAAATTGTACAAAACTGGTCCGTTTGAAATGGAAAACACTTTTCTATTTTTTTTTTAATTTTGAATTTTATTTTCAATTGTAAGGTTTTGATTGTTCAAATTTCTACCATAAGAACAAAAAACTGAAAGTGAAAACAACTTTGCTAAACAACCCTAAAAAAATTGTATATCTCTTTAGTTTAGGGATTTGTTTGCTGGGTTGTTCATGTGTTGGGTTGTTGAGCTTAAGTATGGTAAGTAAAATTTAGATTTTAAAAAATTATTATGAAGTATTTTTAAGTAAAATTTTTTGAATTCAAATGTAAAATTAAGAAGATAAAGTTGAACCTCGTGGGTGACAAGCCCAAGGGCGTGTTTTTGGTAACTTCTTTTAGAAGGCATTTTTATATAAATCGTATGTAAATGACTTGATTTTGTTTTAGGAAAATAAATTTTCAAACATAAAAAATTAGTGATAAAATGAAATATAATCAATTAAAGTATATTCGTTTGTAATTGATTGATTATAATGTTTTAAAGGTAAAATAATAAATTAAATAAGTAAGGTAATCATTTAGATTTATTAGAATAGAAAGGAAATTTTGGAGATTTTTTACTTAAAAAATCTGATTGGATTAGAAAATTTCATTGCTTTTCTTAAAGGCGATTATGTTGCTGGATTCAAATTTCACACTGGGAATTGGATATTAAAAGTATAAAATAATATAAAAAATAATTTTATTAAAAATATTTTAATAAATTTATATAATAAACTATAATTTTAAAATGCAAGTTCTGACATGTGAGATACTGTTCCAGCAATCTTGCCTTGGAAGCATATTATAATACCAACGCAGTGTGTTTAGCCTCTGCCTTTGCTTCTCCATGCAATTCTCACTCTGATCAAGATTTCTTCGTCCCGACGGCCGACGGGATTCGGGCGACACCCAGATTGTTCCGGCGATCATCCGCCGTCTTTGCAGTTGATTCCCCGTCGGCCTCTGTCTCTCTCCGCTACACGCTCTGCTGTTTCGCAATCAGTGTATGGTTTTCATTATTTGCTGAATTGTCTGCTTTTAGGGGGTCTGGCTCAATTGGGTTTCTTTACTTTAATCTGTTTTGGAACTTTCAAGTAATTTCTCACTCAATTTGAGCTTCTCATGTTTTGCTTCGTCTTTGGATGGATGTTGATTCTTTTGAAACTTCAAAACTTAAATTTTTTTTTTTTTGGATAATTGATCTAATTAAATTAATTCAAGAAAATTGAATTAATCTCAGTTTTGATACAAAATGACTGACGGAATGGATAGATCTTCTTTGATTTTGTTTATCATCTTCATATATTTATTTTATTTTAGTTTAATTGTTAGCATTACATGAATCTGGGTTTTAATGAAGCAAAAATTGTGTTTAGATTAATGTAAAAACATGGAAAAGGAGCAAATGAGTTGCATTGAGGCCAGTTCTGTTGATCGGATTTCAGATTTGCCTGATGGAATCCTTCATCAGATATTATCTTACCTTCCCACAGAAGTTGTTGCTCGAACTTGTGTGTTGTCCAAGAGATGGCAGTATTTATGGGACACTTACCCAATTTTTGATATTCCAAGGTTGTCATTCCTTGTTATTGGAGAAGGAGTAGATATAGATAGGTATGCTGATGTTGTGGATCACAAACTAAATACATTTTGCAAATACGAGTTTGAGATTCAGAAGTTTAAACTGTCCTTTATGTGTGAACTCAATGGTATCAAACTAAAGCATGATTCCCTTGTTAACAAATGGTTGAGATTGGTTGCTGAAAGAAATGTTAAAGAGCTGCACCTCGATTTTGGTATAAGGGACAGAAGTCCCTGCAGTTTTCCACAGGAAATCTTTGCTGCCAAATCACTGACTTTCTTAGAGATCCATTGTCCGAATGCCCTTTTGCCGAGCTCCATAAACCTTCCTTCTCTTGAAACCTTGCGTCTGTCTTTGGTTTGTATTCCAGAAGGGTTTAAGTTATCCTGCCACCAGCTTAAGGTACTGACAATAAACTACTGTTGCCAGTTTGGTAAGATAGAGATATTTGCACCAAACTTAAGTTCGATGTGCTATTACAGCAATTTACTGCCCACATCCTCATTCTTGTCCCTCGATGGCCCATCCATACTGAAAGAATTCATGCTTAGTTCTGTAAGGTTCCTCAATACTTTGTGGTACACCAAATTGAAGGAGTCTCTTCTTCATATGCATAATGGAACTGAAACTCTTGTTTTATTGTTGGATGCAGACAAAAAGGTACTTTTGCTAATGCACCCAGCTTTTGCTAATCAATTAATTAATTTTCTTCTTCTTTTTTTTCTGGTTTTATTTACGTAGATTTTGTTTCTTTAAAATATGTAGAATACATTTGATAGGGGAGAAGCAAGCAAACGTTGCATTTCTCCACAATATGCCCTCAAGTGCTTGGTTTTGAATTTATTTCATCCTACAATGGAATTAGATCTTGAAGCTCTTATTGATGGTTTTCTTTGGAGCTTTCGTCCTGAAATCCTTCGTGTTATGTTTAGTGGTCCTAACAAAAAAGGGTTTGCTGAGGTATGTCTAGTTTCATTTCAATACATGTGTGCAGTTTTCACTTTTCATTGAATGATATAAGCCTGAAAATAAGTATCCATAGGTGGTTTAATACAAAACTATTTGGAGAAACAAGAGACATTATATTTTTTTGGGTAAAATGTAAATTCTTATTACCAATAACAAATATACAAAGCAGCACCAATAATAAAGGCTGCTACCAGATGAGTTTTGTACAAAAGAATAAACAGATTATCAACAGATAGAACTCAATCTTGAATTACAGCTCTGACTCCCCACTGCAATGCAATTGGTCGAGACAGTGGAGATGCTTTTGGCCTAAGAGACATTACTTAGAGAAACTTTTGATTGCCTCCAGACTTATGTGTGAAAAATAATTTGCTTTTCAGCAGCTGCATTGATAATGATGGTACTGATTCTTGTTCTGGTTTATGAGCATGCATTATAGGTTCTATTTAAGATGTTGGAGGCAATAGAAGCTCAGGGCTGCTGCAGTTCAAGCGAGATTAAATGTTGGCGGCATTCCTGTAAAGTGAAGCATGTTTTGGTGATAGCTGAAGGGTTTGAAGAAAAGTTACCTTTATCTCGGGATGCTTTGTCCAAAGTGGCATATGATCACCAAGAAATACGACAAGTTGAGTTTTACTTAACATGGTGATCACTTCAGTATGAAGGATGAGGGTGACAACTCTATTAAAATTTTCTAGTTCTAGTTTTATTATGTTTGCCTCTAGAATAAAGTAGAATGTTTATGAACCATCAAGTTTCAAGTACTTTTTTAGCCATTGTTTTCTGCAATAACATTTTCTGGTCAAATGCTTCAGTTTCCCTTTTGATATCAACTTCTTGTCTCTTCTCTGTATCTAATTCTTCGATAATCAGTGAAATTGTTGCAATGATTGCTGGAAATGTTGCAATGAATTTACGTGTATTTGTATTTGAATGATTTGGAAGGAAAATGATTCAAATATAATTTTTTATATAATTTTTTATATAATTTTATGTGTTATTTAAATAATTAATTTTTTAATTTATTTTAAGAGTATTTACATTAAATACATTTATTTATTTAATAATATGGGACATTTTCTAAAAAAAATTTCCTTTGAGTCCCAACTCCCTTACCGTGGGATTACGTGGTGACACAATGAAATATTTTATTAGCTTTATTAATATTATTTTTTTATTAAATATTACAAAAATAATTTTTATAAGTGGATTTGGTTTAGTTAATTTTATATTTATAATTTTATCTTAAATAATTTGTTAGGGTCTTCAAAACTATCCTTCGGTAGATTGCAAATTGTTGTTAACAAATAGATATAAGTGTATAACCTACAACTATTTCTAATAACCTACAACTATTTCTAATAATCAAAATAAATAGAGTATATACTATTAAATTTGAGATAAACATTTAAAATTAATGACATAATTTATATTATATTATTAAATTAATT